TTCTAGGTCTAAGGAGATATCATATTATCTACATCTGCTCTGTTTCAATGTCCAGCAAAAGCGAACGTGTGGATCAAGCATAACTGCTTGATTGACGCTGCCGCGGAAATGCGTATAATAATAATAATCATTGAATAATAATATCCAAAGCCTGCACAGTCATGGCTGCTAACATCCAGAGGTAATGACTTCGCAACATGCATAATTGCAATCATGTACGCGGAGTTTTGCGGACTACCCGTCACTATCTCGTCCGCCCCAGGATACCTGATAAAGACTGATTCACTCCGGCATCTTCTCCTACATGAACTGTATCAGTGTGAGAAAGAACTTTGAAGAAGACGAGCTAGAGCATGCAATCATGTATCGCCAATGATATCTACCATGCTTTTCATTGAAAACACTATCTGCATGACCTCCAAACCAGGGAGTCGTATATAGCCTATAGGTACACGTATATACGACTCCCTGCTCCAAACCCATTACCATGCAGACCACCAGGACTGATCAGGTGCATGCATGATTGTACACAATTGTGTAGCCTACATGCTAGAACTGTGGTACAATCATGATGTAGTTATGCTCCTACCTCCGAAAGGATGCCAAATTATGCTCCAAATTTTCAACCACCAAATGATGCCAATAATTGTGCCGGCATAATCTGCCGGTGCCTACCTGCTGCTCACTTCGAAATTTGGAGTTTTACGCCAAATTTGACGTGAAATGGCGTCATGTCGGAAATAACGTGCATCTTAACCTCTCTAATGTCCACTAACACCACCAGTTACCAGTTTTGTTGATGTTCGCATCTTTTGAGCCACACAAGTTGTGTGTAATGTTGCCTTGCGTCCTTGAATTGTGGTTTGACCGTATTGTCCAGTGGTCTTGCCAGTATCGTCATCGACATGCATGAACATCGGCCAACGTCCTTCAGAGCTGAGGCTTTCTGCTCGTGCGTATCTTGGTTGTGCTCACCTTCCCCTCCTTATGTTATTTCTATAACTTAGAACCTTCCAAGTTGGAAGGCTGTTAGAGTGCGCATCCAAGCTGTTAGCCAGTTAGTTGTAGAACGTCAGTACCGTCGGTCAGTGCATGTCGTGCAGTGTTATCGCATGAGCTGATTGTTTAGTAATTGGTGGTGTTAGTGGACAGTATAGCGTAACTTGCAGTTCCTTGGTCTTTCTCTTTGTGTAAAATATTAATAATAATAATAATAATAATAATTAACTGGTTTGAGGGAAAGAGACAAACGGGAAAAGTCTGAAGAAAAAATTGACTGCCACCACCAGGACTCGAACCAGGGACCTTCGCTTGTAGCCAGCGATGCTCTAACCACTGAGCTATGGTGTAGTCGTCATCCCAGCAGAGGCCGTTCAACATTTTCTTCAGACTTCGTAACTCACACTTCCTGTGAATCCACACAGGCGGGTGGGACGCAGCCCTCACTGTAACCCACACACTTCACGTACAAACTAGCACGCGGGGAGCCCCAAGTCATAACATATTAACTGGTTTGAGGGAAAGAGACAAACGGGAAAAGTCTGAAGAAAAAATTGACTGCCACCACCAGGACTCGAACCAGGGACCTTCGCTTGTAGCCAGCGATGCTCTAACCACTGAGCTATGGTGTAGTCGTCATCCCAGCAGAGGCCGTTCAACATTTTCTTCAGACTTCGTAACTCACACTTCCTGTGAATCCACACAGGCGGGTGGGACGCAGCCCTCACTGTAACCCACACACTTCACGTACAAACTAGCACGCGGGGAGCCCCAAGTCATAACATATTAACTGGTTTGAGGGAAAGAGACAAACGGGAAAAGTCTGAAGAAAAAATTGACTGCCACCACCAGGACTCGAACCAGGGACCTTCGCTTGTAGCCAGCGATGCTCTAACCACTGAGCTATGGTGTAGTCGTCATCCCAGCAGAGGCCGTTCAACATTTTCTTCAGACTTCGTAACTCACACTTCCTGTGAATCCACACAGGCGGGTGGGACGCAGCCCTCACTGTAACCCACACACTTCACGTACAAACTAGCACGCGGGGAGCCCCAAGTCATAACATATTAACTGGTTTGAGGGAAAGAGACAAACGGGAAAAGTCTGAAGAAAAAATTGACTGCCACCACCAGGACTCGAACCAGGGACCTTCGCTTGTAGCCAGCGATGCTCTAACCACTGAGCTATGGTGTAGTCGTCATCCCAGCAGAGGCCGTTCAACATTTTCTTCAGACTTCGTAACTCACACTTCCTGTGAATCCACACAGGCTAATAATAATAATAATAATAATAATAATAATAATAATAATAATAACTGCAAGTCGTTGTAGTTCTTTCCTCTGGGTGAAAATCATTGCCGGATTTGGAGGACAGTGACAACACCCTTCTTCGGAATCATGAGCAGAGACACTTACCAGAACACTCGTTTCCTGTTCCCTGTCATCGCTACATTCTACTGCAAACAACCATGCATTGACCAGAAACCTCAACCTAGAAGACGTACATGTACATGTATACAGTAAGTAATTAGTTTGTAAGGAAGAAGTTGCCTGCCTTTTTGCACACGTGTGCTTACTTTCCCCCAAACTGAATTTAGTCCACTTGTCACTAGCTATCCCGACCTGGGATTGGCAGGGGTGGGCAGGTATGCGGGGTACCGGCACATGCCGAATTCCAGGCCCACCAAGGAGCGGCCAGAAGCATTGCATGCCTCTGGCAATATCATAATTTCACAGTTGTTCGAGCGGAGGTGGCCTGGCACGAGCGAAACTAACGTGTTACTTCCTATGCTGGTTGTGTTTCTCAACAGTACAGCCGGTTGCGGGGGCGTGCGAACCTTCCTTATCATTTTCGAGCAGAGTCTGCTGAGCGTTATCCACCAAATTATTCGCAGAAGCCAACTTTAAACCTCCCCTGGCGTGTTTTGGTCTGCGAATACATGTAAAATGTACATGTACGGCAACACACAAAATACCAATGGCAATGAGTTGAAACTACATTGCACATTTATGATTTTATTATACTGTACGGAGGAGAAGAAGCAGGAGAGAGAGAGTAGAGGCGGTACGAGTGTTAGCCTCTTTATACATGTACAGGCAATCACAGAACATGATGTATCACTCAGTGGCCTGAGCTGACACAACACTTTATTATGTTTAGACAGACTTAGGGGCCGTCCGGGGTTACCAATAGTTTTTGCAAAACGAAACGTTTTAGTATTTTTCAGCACCCACCCACCCACCTACCTTTTCTGCAGGTAAAACGAATTCCAATAAAATATTGATGTCAATTTTCGAAATCCAGAAGTAACTGGGCATTCTCCATCTGCATTCAATAATTATTTTCAAAACGAAATTCCTTCAAACCCACCCACCCCCAAACGAAAACTTTTCGTTTTGAAATACTATTGGTAACCTTGGACGGCCCCTTTATAGGGTCCGGCGGATTCTGCCGGCAGAAAAATTGGCAGAATTCGGTACTTTTTCTGGTAAGTTTCATGCATGTTTGGTATGTGGATAAAAAAATGGAGCAGAATTCGAGGAATTGCCCGCCATAAGGTTTGTATGGTTCTGCCAATTATTTCACTGCTTTTCGAGCAGAATCTGCCACCTTTTCGAGCAGAATCCGCCGGTCCCTAGAAGTTTAGTACATGTACGAGTACAGCTGCATGGTATGGTAGGGGCCACATACCGGGACATAACTTCATAAGATAAGGTGGCATGTGGCACCAAGACTCACGGAGTCGATATCCATGTACATGACCTACATGTACATGTACATGATTGTATTGCACTTTACAGTATTGATAACCCATAATTAATTTCACGGCATAAACCCAAGTCCCAGTGAAGGAAGAGTGGCAGTGGTGCACGTGGTGGGTTGTGTATACTGTACTGTATCAGCAGCAACAGCACTCAACAGTCCATAACGTTTGCATGTACCGGCACAATCACCATCATGATTGTACTAGTCATTGTACAATGTACATTCGACTACAAAAAATAACAGTACGGTCTGTTAGTTTTAGTTGCTTTTGTTCATGATAATTATTGGTACATGTACATGTACATGCATGTAGTTCACTATGCACCTCAGGTCGGGCCGTCTGTGGGCAGGGATACGTGTGGATGAGCTGATGTCATGCTTGTGCATGATAACCTTTGGCCTTGCCCTTACTTAGCTTGCAAGGTGAAAGCCTGCACTCCTCTGCTCCAGTAAAGGCGTCACTGCCAAATTCTGCTCCATCTCCAGAAACCTAAATTCTGCTCTAAATAATTCAATGGAGCGGAAATGGCATTACAATAATCGGGTAGACCTGCATACACCCTGTAGCCTTGTACTTGTAGGCTGTAGTCTAGATCTAGGCTGCAGAGTGTAGTTCAAGTGGACCTGGGTGCACTCTGTACCCACGAGCCGGTGTGTGCCAGCGCTCCCCGTCGACCACAAGCGTGTACCCGATCCGATCGAGGTGAACCCTACACATGGCGGATCCGCGGACCACACAGATACCACGGCTGCGTGCAGCGGCCAGATCCCGGATGCGTGCAGAGGTCGACTCTCTACTCATATCATGTCGATTCGTCATTGGAATGCACTCGCAGTCCTGACATACTAGTACTAGTACTCGGGACGGTAGATCGCGGAGCAGCACACAAGCGGAGCAGTTCTACGAGTTCAAGTACACTGCCGTTGAATGAATGGTGTATGATGCCAATACATTTGACTCATAATCAGTCAGTATGCGAGCTGGAAGTATGCGAGCAGGAAGTATGCCGCGCCAAAAGTATGCGAGCTGGACTGAGTTATTTTGCTCTGCGGGGAACGATTATGACTGTGTGAACGATTACTAGTATGTGTCACTTGTGTGTTGCGACCTCCCTCACCTCGGCCTCGGTCTCCAGCTACTGAGTAGCTTGTACTGACGGTAGATTCTACATGTAGTAGATCTACTACCTGACACGGACACGGACTGTCTGTGCGTGTCATGGGGCCAGCCCCATCGCCAGTTCAAGAAGCAGCATGCTAGCAGTACACTGCATGCACTCTCCAGGCTGTAGTGTAGATCCACGCGGTCGTTTTTGGAAAGATCATTGATTTCCGCGTCGGTCTCGAGCGCACTGGCCTGAGCTGCTGCGCTTATGTGCTGTGCACAAGTGGCGATCTTTCCCTGACTTCGACACTTTGTACTTGACGACTAGGTGGCTGGTTGTGAAATTGAACCAAGGAAGCGTCTCCCAACTGCAATCGATATAACTGCATTGCCCACTCAACGATGAACAGTTTCGAGCAAGTAGACACTGGCGAGTGCGATGTAAGCAGCACGACGTCGACGGTGGACGAATCGAGGCAAGGCTCTAGCTCTGCTGGCGAGATGGAACCAAGCGCACCCAGAACACCAACCTCGACCGCTAGACCAGGCTGCACAGTGGACGAATATCGCACTGCAGGTACGACTTATTGCCAATGCTAACGGTCTAATATTTCCTGCTGGGGAAAGGAAAAAATATTATGGCGTCTCCTCAACAGGGAGAGCTAACTGTTACGCGCCATTGCACTGCGACAGCGAATTCGCGTGCCAGTACTAGTAGTTTCTAGGACAGTAGGAGCATAGATGCCATACTTCCACAGAATTGAAAAAAAAGATTTTCACCAGTCTGAGCGGATACCTCGCGTAGCTAGATCAATAGTTTTGCGTGACCAGCTAGTACGTCGTACCTAGTACCTGTTCTCTTGTGAAACTAACACTTTAATACTTCAAAATAAAAAAATATGGAAAGCAATGAAAAACATCGGCGGCCATGTGCCAAGACAATGTGGGTTATTACCCTTTGGAGGCTCCAGCTACAATTGTGACCTAGTTTACAAGTTATTATTATTATTATTAACCTGGTTGCCACTTGAGGGTTATGTGTCTTTGCAGAATTCATAAGAATAATTATATTATTATGATGGAGTCGCGGATAGCGATCTGAATAACACCCATACCGATCTGACTGCCAAAGTCTTCAGCCGGCTGGGACGCAGAGACAGAGTTGAGCGGCATCGGTCTGAGGAGGCCGCCATGTTCTGTTTGCCAGTCCGGTAAAACCTGCCCAAACCGGGTGCCCTTGGTGCAGCGGAACTGTGCTGATATGACAGGATTCCGCTTGATCCACAGCACGTTGGTGCATGCAAACTTGTCCGATCAGTACAGGATTCCGCCTGGTACAGGGTCCGGCAAACACAGGTCTTACTGTACGTCTATAGTCGCAATTGATTTAGTTACACTCTTCCAGCCATGATTCGGCAGTGATGGCGACGCAGCCATCGGCCCAGCCCGATACAGTGTGCACACACTACATGTAGAACAGTACCTCAGGACTACGCTTTCGGTAGTTTTAGGTCAGAGGAATTCGAAGCCGTTGATCCCCCCCCCCCCCCCCCCCCCCGAGCTGCAAAGAGTGCTCAATGCCAATGCCAAAGACAGAGGTTAGAATATGGCACTGCGGAGGACGTTCAGGTTGGTTGTAACTCCTTTTTCATGCCCCCAGCCAATCCGCATCAGTCGTCTCATCAGTTGTCTGATGATTGTCTGATGATTGCCTAGCAGCATGAAACTCAAGAGTTACAACCAACCTGAACGTCCTCTGCTGAGTCTGCTATGGTCAGAGGAGTTCAGTATTTCCATCATGGTGGTGGGTAGACAGGCGCGTGCGGCGGTGCCCTTCAAGGGGGGTTCCGGGGGCGTCCCCCCCCCCCCCCGGGAAAAATTTCAAAAAATGAAGCAAAATCCTGCATTTTGAGCGAAAAAGGGGGGGGGGGTTCCGGGCACCCAGGAACCCATACGGGGCACGGTTTCACTGTAGTGACTGTACAAAGGTTCTCAACAGTGCTCAGGGGATCAGTTGAGAAATTCTTTGTAGGCAACTGAATCGGAAGATCTCCCATCTGAGCGGGAGATTCGGGGCCTCTGCTTTTCGGTTAGGGCGTGTCTGGGACTAGGGTGAAAGTCGCGTACACACACACACACACTGGATTTGTTTTCATATGCGTGTTTCTGTTTGTTTGTGTGTGTGTGTGTGTGTGTGTATTATGTGTATGTGCCTACACATTCAGACTATCCGTTTGCCGCCCTGGCCAGCGGCAGTGGCCGGTCATCGGGTGGCACCGGGAAGTCGGCGGCAGCTAGCTTCCTGCCGATGAATTTGACAGGCACGCCGGCAACAGCTAGCTCCTGGCTTAACTCGTTAGCTACAGTCACACCGATTGGAGTGCCGGCGGTAGCCAGTCAGGGTATTGCAACTGCACCAGCAGCCATGGCAGCAGCAAAGACCAATCTCAGTAGCAGTAGTAGTAGTAGTAGAGACACAGACACCTTTGGTCAATATCACTCTTTTGATGACGATGACGACGACGACGATGAAGAAGACGATATGTCGGAGCAAGAACAAACGCCGCAGCAGCAGCAGCAACAAGTAAAGGGCGAAGCAGAAGAGGACACAAAGCCGTCGTCGACCGTGACTGACTGTGTCGTGTGCGGACCTGGCGACAAAGTCACCGGCAATCACTTTGGCGCGCAGACGTGCGAGGCGTGCAAGGCGTTCTTCCGGCGCACGGTGCGTGCCGATCGCTCCTACTCGTGCCGGATGGACCGGACGTGCGAAATCACGCGAGAGACGCGCACCCAATGCTCTTACTGTCGCCTGCATAAATGCCTGCGCGTGGGCATGAAGAAAGAATGTAAGTACTAGTGGTTGCTACTTCAAGCTGTACAGGTCATGCTATTACGTCATCGTTGCAGAGGCTTTGTATGGCGGTGACGTCATCGTTTCAGATGCGTTGTACGGGACGACATCATTGTTTAAAATGCATTGTACGGCAATTACGCCATCGTTTCGGATGCTTTATATGGAGTAGCAGAGCCGCAGCACAGTGGTGCACTTAGTAGTGCTGGTTTGCCATCAAACTAGCACTGCGTATGTGGCTTATATGGCTTGTCACTCTACAAGTCCCATGGTGCGTCTGGGGACTCTGGGCGGTCATGAAGTCAAGACCCTAGGTGGGCGGAGCTCCCTAAACCTCGCCACCGCTACCGTGATTCATGTATTGTGTGCTTCCCCTGCTGCATCTCGTGTCAGGCTGCTTTGAACTTGAAGTGGCCTCTGTAAAACAAAATTACCACTCTGTATCTTGAGACAACTACAGTGTAGCACTGTTTAGTTCTCAATGGAAAACAAGCACTGATCTGCACTCCATGCACTCCAGCTTATGTCAATAGCACTGATTTCCACTCCATGCACTCCGTACAACACTGGCACTGATTTCCACTACATGCAGTCCACACAAAAGCGTATGCGATAACCTCATTACTGCCTTGGCATGTAGATATTGCAATTCGGCTGGTCGGCAACCACTCGTACTGCGCCCAAGTGATTGTACGACAAGGTTGTGTCGGTTTTTGTGTTGTGTGTATGGAGTCACCCTGTTTGTGTTTGCAATTTGCATACAGTGGTGCAGGTCCCGCGTTGGGAGGGAGAACGTAGGCTGAAACCGTCGCGCAAGCTGAAGCTGAGTGAGTGCATGTGGAGATGCGAGCATGCATGCATTGTAGTCGTGTACGATCAGGGTAGTCTAACATCTGTATGTGGCTATTTGTGTGTGTGTGTGTGTGTGCACGCGTGTGTGTACGTGTTCTGTTTGCGCACTTCTCGTGTGCCGATGATCACACAGCTGTACAGGATGGCCGTTCACAGCAGGTGCGGCCCGGTGACAGCCAGTCAGCACATTACATCGACGACATGCTGCAGCGCTACCCGAGGATGAGCGAGGCGGCACCGATGCCAGCCATCAGCGATCTACAAGTGATGGACTTCTACCAGGAGTTACCGGAGGAGGACGGCACCGTGCTCGCAAAGCACATGGAGGACGCAGAGCGCCGTATCAGAGAGCGCGAGCCCCAGCCCTCTGGCACTGCGCAGCCGGTTAGAAGCCTGAACGAGGTCGTGCTCGCGTTGCGCGCAATGCTGCTGAAGGTGATCGACTGGGCTCAGTCGCTGCCGGAGTTCAGGGAGCTCGATCCTCCCACGCACAAGGTATGGCTAACTTTCCGCAACCTTCCCCGCTGTGCATTACCTGCATGGCTAAATTCAGGCTTGATGATCTTCTTTAAGTTCTAGTGCCGGTGTGTCGGCTTGTATACATGTATTACAATGTACTGCGTGTCTATCCGTACGGCTTAGGGCACTGGGGTAACTGGAACTCAAGGACAGCTGAGCTGAGAGTAGTACATGCCGTATATACAGTTATACACACCCTAGATTACCAATGCTTTTGGTGTGCTGGGAATTGGTTGCCCTATGCAGTACTGTAATTTCAGACATTTTCGGTGCTCAATATTTTCGGTATGAGGGCAACAGAACAGAAATTTTCGGTACAGAGAAGCAGTTCCCTATTGGATTTAGTGCGTTAGTGTTTGTTCGGTGTATTGAAATTTTAGGTATGAAACAGACGCACCGAAAGTACCGAAAATAAATGTACACCGAAAATTTGTGAAATTACAGCATACATTCATGTGTGAGTGACTACTCCAGAGCGGTGACCACCATTGGATCAGTCGGGTATATTCGTGTCACTCATCGCTGCCGTTGTTTGCTGTTGTGTTGTCGTCCGCCGCACAGGCTGATGTTCTCCGCGTCTGCTGGATGGAGCTGATCACATTCAGCATGATGACACAGGCACAAGATGGCGACCACCATGACGGCATCATGCTCGGCACCCAGCAGTTTATCAGCAAAGAGGACTGCTTTGACGAAGAACTCGGGCATCTGATCGGGCGCTTGGTCGACGAGCGAGGCAGGTTCCGCGCGTTCAACTTGTCCGAGTATGAGAAAGGCTGCATCCGAGGCATACTTATGTTCTATCCAGGTGAGTGTACCTGTCAAGTGTGAACGCATGCTGCATGAGTGAACACGATGACGATGACAGTGGATATGACGATGATGATCCGTGTAGAAACAATCATGGGGTGAATACCATGAACTGTTTGCGCCATGTGTGTGTCGCATCATAGTTTTCATAATCACCTTGTGTGACTCTGCGGTTTGAGTTGGCCTCCGGTGGATTTCCAATTTTCCCACATGTATATAATTATATTGTGTTCACGGGGGTCTGTGCGCGTGTCTGCAGAAATGCACAGCGGCAAGGCGCAGCTGAGCAAGCGCATGACGTTCTTCCAGGACGGCCTCATGGGCATGCTGATGGAGCAGTGCATGGCCGCGTACAACCACCGGCGCTCCAACCGCTACGGCAAGCTAATGATGCGAATCCCGGCGCTGCGCACGCTCAGCGCAGAGCTGCTGCGCTACCTGCTGATCAACGACGGCACGTTCTTCAACACGCCCGAGCAGACTGGCACGGCCGTCGGCGGGGCCACCAACAGCCACGGTGTCAACACCACGCTAAACGCACTGCTCATTTTGCCGATGAACGAGTGACCGGCAGCAGGGTGCTTGGCATTTGGATGACAACTTTTCAAACAAGGAGCTTCTCCAAAGAGGATGTGAAGGACCACCTGTGTCATTTTAGGACTAGGAGCCGTATTTCTTCTTCTTCAAATTCATAGTGACTATTTTGCAATGCATACATACAGCTTATCAATCTCCAGGGCCGATTTCCAAAACAATTCCTTCATCGACTGCGGATTTATTCCAGTTACATAATCGTATGTATAATATTCCCCCCCCCCCCCCCCCACCAAATCCGCTGGCTAAAGTTTTGTACCACGTGTATATATGGATTTTCCAAACTTACCACACAAATGCAATTTTGTTTCCTGTTGATCCTGATGCCTCCCGGTCTGTTCCTATCGTTCTCACTGATATAGCGTCGTGTACAACGACGATTCCTGATGAGTGTTATAACATTTTGTCCTCTTCTATTCTCGGATTTGTTTCCACTGTTGAGGAAGATATCAATCACTCCAATACAAAGATATTTTCACTTCCAATTTTGATTGCTTGGATCTGCATTTGAAAATCATATTTTTACACAATGTATGTGTATTATGCCTTGATTTCTTCACCAATTTTGTTAATTATTGTGTTTGTTTTACCTGTAAAAGAGACTTACCGACTGAAAAAATGCAGGAATCGCATTACCTCGTGTTGCCAGACATGGCGAAGACATGCAAGTGTGCATACCGGTACATGTAATACTAATAGTATACTCACATGGCCTTGCACACTACCGTAGGTTAATTCCAAAGAAAACAGTAGCGTGCACCATTCATCATTGTTCTATTGTTCCATTCCAGTACAATACATGCAGGCACACTTCAGTCTGTCAACTCAAATTACTCACTAACACCTCCCCTCCTCCCCCCCCCCCCCCCCAAGACTAGCAAGTGTCCATCATTCCACAACTAACTAATTACTAGTACTTCCTGCCGAAGTTCCTGGTATGATCCTGGCATTGAACCAAGAGTAGGTCCATGTGTACACAATACTAGTCCATGGTGGACCCTTGATTGTACTACAGTCCACACATAGCACCCTGTTCCAAAGCAGCACCCTCTGGAGGCTGGAGGCATCTCATGCATGGCAAGTGATTATCATCCCAAAGATTGCATGCATGCATGCACAGCTTGAACTTAGTTCAAGCAGACCGGCTGCAGGATAAGAAGGTCAGGACACTGCGTAGTTGAACCCAATGGGCAGCACTTGACCTCTTGTATGTCCCTGCCGGCTTGGTTTATCCACCTGCTCAGGTTCAGGGCTATGTTTGCCTAAAGTTCATTCTTTCCCCTTGAGGCTTGCCCAGCCGTGGACATGAACGCACCCAGGGTTGTGTCACGGAGGACAAAATAGGAATTATTATTTGCAGCAACAGAGCCAGAGACTGGACCGGCCACAGCCATCAGGGCATTGAGAGAATAATACCACATGGTAATGGTATGGAATGCATGGGCGATCCCCAGTACAATGCATGCCTGTCCCTATACACTACTTGCTTGTAGCCTAAAATAGGTATGCAGTGCAGGCGGTTCACCGGTATAATGGCATTTATCCTATAACTTAAGTCCAGATCCAAACCGGACACAATGTGAGCAGCTATATACACCACAATACAATTATTAAAATTATGTCATGTGCTATACCTTATGCTATGCAAATCTCTCTTGCACTGCACTGGCATGAACCAGTTGACCAAACACTTGCAGGTCTACATGTCCAGGCATACACGTACACAGTACAGTAATCATAGCCATGGTAGATTCATAGCCAACCACAGTGACAGGGCGTTGACCAGTTATCAGGGGGCCGGATAGGCTCATGCAAGAATAGCTTAGAGTACGGTATGATTTCCAAGGCCTGTACCATTGCCCAGTGCAGTGCAAGCACTAGCCTACAAACGGGTAAGAGAATGTACAGCTACTACCAAGAGTATTTGGGGGGGGGGGGTATTATACTCTTGCTACTACTAGTACCAAGAGTACATAACTCTTGCTAGTACCAAGAGTATATAACCCCCCCCCCCCCAAGAGTGTGCAACTCCTGATACCCTTTCTATGGGGCACGCCGACGGCGAAAACTCACATCACGTGGTGCAGTGTCGCAGTTGTACGTTTCCAGCCCGTTTTTAGCGAGCAGCGGAGTACTAAAAAAAGCACTCTCTGACAGAAACTCACTGCACGTATGCAAATCCCCAGCATGATCACGGCAGATTTTCGGATTGCGCGCACGCTATCCTACGTTTGTACGTAGTACAAAGGTATCTGGGACACGTGATGTGAGTTTTCGCCGTCGGAGACCCCATAATGCAGAGTTGCACACTCTTGGGGGGTTATATACTCTTGCTAGTACTATATTTTTTGTAGTAACCAAGCCAGATATGTACAACCTAACACTGGGAAATGGCAAAAACCAGCAAGTACAATGTACTAAACTTAAACCTTCTTCTGTCAGTACTCCTTGGCCCTGGGCAAAACCATCCTGATAAACCATCCTGATAAACCATCCTGATAAACCATCCTGATAAACCACCCTGATACGGCCACATCAAGTACAAACTGGGTGCTATAGCGTGGAGTGCTCACATCAGACAAAAGCCAGGCAGGGAGCAGGCCAGGACAGGCCAAGGAACCACCAGGATACATGCACTGTGCAGTGTTGGCACCCAGTACAACTTCAAGTTGACTGCCATTGTGGAGTGTTTACATCAGACAAAGGCCAGGCAGGCCAGGCCAACCATCCACACCAGATACCACTGCTAAACAGTACACCAGTGCCGGTGGCAGAGTACAACACAGCCACCAACACCAGTTCCGGTACTAGCAGCAGTACAAAGTGACAAGAGAAGGCATACGGTAATGAAGTGGGTGGTGTCCTCACTGTCCATCCCGCTGACACTAGCTGCCCTGGCCAACAATCCAGTGAAGGTTGATTCACAGGACAATCAGCAGGACCAAGATGTGGACAGTCCTCAAAACTAGCAACGTCCTGTCGGGAATCCTTCCAGGTACTTGAACCGGACTCTGTCCGAACTGGACAGCTGATTTAGAAAGACATCTGGCACTGGCACCCAGTTAGCTGGCACCCAGTTAGCTGGATAGTACAGACCGGGTTCTTTAGATCACCTTCCTATGTATAATGCAGTGTGGTGCCATGAAAACGTGCAGTGACTTCACCTCCCGCCCAGCCTGATACAAGAAGCGATAAAACTGGTAGCATATCACAACACCAGTCACAGTGTCCAGGATGCCCAACCCACAGGTCTTTTCCCATTGTAGATGAAAGGCAGAGAAGAAAGTGCAATGGCTTCTCCAACTGGAGACGGTGACCGGAGAGGAACGTGCTTTTCCGCAGAGAAAAACCAAAATGGAACGTTCAAGCTGATGTTGATACATGTAGATGCATGGGTACGAGTCAAAGTCAAAGCTGTGATTCCACTCCACCAAGGCAGGATTCTGGATCTGGTAAACAGCTACAGACTCAGACTGAGCCCCAGGTGTTGACTCTTCCAGAGCATATAGCACTGGGGAAGTGGGAGAGCTCAAGCTCGATCATAACTCTTGCCAGGTGCACACTATTCCAATATCATCATGTTGATAGCCAGCAGTGGTTGCACATTTGAGACTTTTCTTGTCAGAAACTAGAACTAAAGACAACTAATCTCTGGGGTTAGAAAAAGGAGGCAAAATACAGGAGCTTGAAAAACGAAATCCCCGATGAAACATTTTCCAGAAAATGTTAAATGTACTCGAAGTACCAATATGCATTGTGAACAGGGTGATGAAAGCAATCACAGAATGGAGAATACAATATTCATCTACTCTACTAAGGTTTCTTCTCTAGTGGCTAGAGAGACCCAGTAGAAGTCACAACACACCCACATGCACCCACACACACACACACACACACGCGCGCGCACACACACACACACACACACACACACACACACACACACACACACACACACACACACACACACACACACACACACACATGCACACACACACACACACACACACACACACACACACACACACACACACACACACACACACACACACACACACACACACACACACACACACACACACACACACACACACACACACACACACACACACACACACACACACACACACACACACACACACACACACACACACACACACACACACACACACACACACACACACACACACACACACACACACACACACACACACACACACACACACACACACACACACACACACACACACACACACACACACACACACACACACACACACACACACACACACACACACACACACACACACACACACACACACACACACACACACACACACACACACACACACACACACACACACACACACACACACACACACACACACACACACACACACACACACACACACACACACACACACACACACACACACACACACACACACACACACACACACACACACACACACACACACACACACACACACACACACACACACACACACACACACACACACACACACACACACACACACACACACACACACACACACACACACACACACACACACACACACACACACACACACACACATGTACACAGGCACGCGCTGAGCACTAGCGACAACCACGGGCAAAATAGAAACTAATGCTTCACGTACAAGGGGTACATGACAGAGGGGAAAAGGAGGACTAAAAAAGGAAAAGAAGTGTCGGCAGCTTGGCTTCACAGTGAGCCGCAAAAGCATTAAATTAAAAGTGGCCAAGGTTCATTGCAAAATACTGGGCCAATAACCCTTGATGTGAAGGTCACCACTTCTACCCAACTGGCACCAGGTCATGGCTACAAGGATGATCATTGACCCCAGAGCCCGTGTGGTGTGTGTGCTGGGTGGATTTAGAGAGCTGGCTTGATGCACCAGTGCAAGTGCCTGCCCCATGCATACACACACACACACACACACACACACACACACACACACACACACACACACACACACACACACACACACACACACACACACACACACACAGCAGCAGCACCACCACCAGCCGATTGGTTGATTCCCTATGCAGGCATTGCCGGATCAGCCACCTGAGCTGTAGTGTAGGCACTTTGCATGGCGGTCAGAGGGTCAGGAGGTCAGCACTGCTAGCTCAGTAGGGAGTCCACCCCGGCCAGGACCGAGAGAAAAGAATGCAACACTGAGAAACACCAGAAGCACCGCACATGTCACCCGGTAGGGTACAGAGCTCACTCCGTAGAAACCAACTTAACTCCACTAACAACACTGAACCCAACGCCAGCAGCCTACCTGTAGAGTATATGGCAGTGGCAGAGGGAGGATAGCGGCAGTACAATCCTGATACCAATCTTCTTAGACTGGCTCCAGGTCGACTGGGAAATTTGCAGAGAGTTTGCCAGCAGGGAAAGTGTGGTACAAAAATTGACCTTGAAACTCATTCCTCCTTCTGCTGTCCATTACTACCACTTGACCTTGGCTCTCCGGACAGCTGGACAGCTCCGTCCTGCGCCCTGTTGACCACCATACAAGGAGAATGAAGACAGGGCAGCTGCGGACTGGCCGGTTGGTTGCAGTTGCTCCTAATCTGGCTGCTGCTGCTGTTGTAATACTGCTTACTAGACTCAGCAGAGCCAAGATCATGTTGCTGCGGCTGCACTGGGAATGGCTGCGTTGTAATGCTCACCCGTGCCGAGATCATGCCGATGATACCTGAACAAGACAAGCAAGCAGAGAGACCAGCAGCACAGGACAAGTTGCTGCGCTGCACGTCTTCCCCTTCCTCAGGCACGCTTTCCACCAATATCACAATCCTGAGTTGCAAAAAAACGGCCTTGGCGCAAATGAGATGTAATGTGGGGTAATGTTTGGTGACCGGACATGCTTTTGCTGGTATATTATGGAGATTCTGGCATTTCAGCAAAGAGTGTGATCAGAGTGTGATCAGAGTGTGATCAGAGTGTGATCAGAGTGTGATCAGAGTGTGATCACTAACCCTGTTTGATTGAAGTACATGTACTGCTGGTGTTAGTAATGCTGTACTGAACTACTCGTAATGCTGTACTGAACTACTCGTAATGCTGTACTGAACTACTTGTAATGCCGCATCGAACCATCACTGCTCAGTCTATCAGCAATGCTGCACTGAACGATCAGCTGTGGTGCATTGAACTAGTCTCGAGCCAGTACAATTCGTGGCTAACATATTTATTAGGGTAGTGAGCAGCCGCACTGAGACCCAGCAACCTCGCTGGTGACTGATCAATGATCATGCAACAACGAAAAGTCACAGTGAACGTTTCTCCTCTCACAGTCCACCTGCTACTGTAAGTCAATACTAGTAAATATTCGGCGCATACCGTGTGTCAGAGCCATGGCCTTATATTCGAAACACCGCTGCTTTCCTAGCTATTTTAGATGCAAAATGACTCACCCACTACGCCATGCCATAAAAGTCAAGGTCTACACACAGACATTTCAATGTAAATCCACTTGTTCACCATTCCTGCCGGGCTGTAAATTTGTTAGTATGGTACTTATTCCTTCATTTTTACAAAACATACTTCAAATGTCATTGCATTTCGAAGCCCATGGCTTTATAATCGAATATACCTCCATGGCTTTAAAGGTGCGGACATACGGTATTTATTTTCGGCCTGGTCACGTTCCGCCAAAAATTTGTTGCGGCCGAAATTTTGTTTTGCAAGGTTCAGTGTGACAGTGTATACAGGCGGCAGCAGTACAGGCCGAAAATTTGAATGGGCCGAAAATCTGTAGACTTACAGAAGCCAGTGTGTAGCCAACAAAGAGCCCAGCGCCACCACCACTACTACTACACACACACAGAACTTACACAAAGCGCAGTGGCTCACTGTCAGTGTAAGTTGAACTCTACGTCACGTATGATTGAATCTCATTCAGTTTGTTCTACTTGCATGGCCGTTCCTATTCTGTAATAAACCACTTGTCTCTTCGCTACCTAAGAACCCCTAGCAGCTTACACTAAGCGTAGTGGTTGGCTGATAGTGTCGTCGCCAATGGTGATGGCCTCACACCCGGCTTGGTATACAACTACCTTCCTCTCCAATGCCCGTGATATGGCTTGTATCTGTAGCACAAAGAATATGAGCAGGCGATGCATCCACACATACACACACACACACACACACACACACACACACACACACACACACACACACACACACACACACAGTGTGAAATGTAATCTACCGTTGTAACCTACTTCCACTGATGATGGCAACGAAGAGCATGTTGGAAGATATACTTCTTTCATATCAATGCAATCATAAGTGTATAGTTGATTCAAAAATAATTAGGCCTAACATAATGCACCATATCTCATTTCAGCTTGGGACCCGGTGTGAGTTTTAGCCACAGACGAGTGCAGTGCAGTGCAGTGCACAGTCTAAATAGACTAAAGACTGAAGATTTATGTAAAGAGAAAAAGGCCTACAAGATACGAGCTATGACTAACAGTCCACCAAGGCAACGAGATAATTATACAGTCAGATAGTGCGACAACAAGGCACAAAACTGACAGGGATACTGAGACATTCGACGACCTTGGTGGACTGTTAGTTATAACTCGTATCTTATAGGTCCTTTCCTCTTTACATATTACTATAGGCTCACCATCCGAGTTTTACTAAAGATATAACTTCGAATCATGCAAGCAATGTCAACGAAACCATACATGCATACATACCTCTAGTTGGCCGCCCCACATTGCAGTCTCGGCTACATTACGACAGTAACGTTCGAAGAAATCTGTACAATGCAGTGAATGCACACACGCATGTACGCAAACACCCACACCCACACCAAAGCAAACGAGTTATCACACAATGGACGACATTAACACCCAAAGGATAGAACATCAGTTGAAGACTACAAATCACAGTACAGTCGACTCCACTTCAAACGAACTCGGTTTTTTGAAAGGAATTCGGGTGGACACACCCATTCCCATAACGCTGCACATCCGAACCAGTTCCGTTATTTTACGTTTCGGCACTTGGCCATCATCAGGTAAGGGGTCGTCGCAAAAGTGTTTTGTCGTCCCTGAAACGAACATGATTCATTTGGGGGGGGGGGGGGGGGGGGAGGGAGGGAGGGGTGCGAGCCAAAATCGCAAGTCGACCGACACTGTACATATGACATGTACATGCATGAGATTTTCGTCGTCCAGCATAGCAAGCTGTGTTCGTTTCAGACGGAGGGGAGGGGGTCCAAGTACAAAATGAACGATGTTCGTTTCAGGGACGACAGAAAACTTTCGCGACGACCCCTAATAAGAACAATGATTTTTAGTTGTCTTTTTTCTCCCTCTCAAAATATGAGTGCACACAGCTAGCTGAACAAAGAAAAAAAGAAAAAAAAGAGAATTGATGTTTCCACCCGGGATCGAACCGGGGACCTTTCGCGTGTTAGGCGAACGTGATAACCGCTACACTATGGAAACAGCTGACAGTCTAGACAGGGCAGAGTGGTGATCTGACTACTCAGTCAGAGCTACAAGGAAAGATCATCCAAGTGCGGCCAGGCATGTACTCGTACACCGTTGCTCAATGAAAATACGGTCAGGCGAGTGAATGGTGAGAAAGATGCATCGATTTTCATTTACACTTTAGTTATTAGTTTGCTTCACACCTTTTATCAGTCATTACGTATGATTTATAATGCAGTGGCAGTACCAGGCGTGGGCCATCCCCTGGATTATCAAAATGGGTGCCTTTAATCATTTTTCTGTTGTTTTTACACTTCTTCGGGCTTTGTATGCATGAATAATGTGCAGTACACAAAAAAAGAAAGAAAGAAAAGAAAGATGCATCAGGTGCGTCACAGGGCAGTGGGGAGTGATACGACTGGGAGTCCGGGGGGGGGGGGGGGGGGGGGTCGCTCGTGGAAAAAATCGGATTTTTGGCCAACAGGGTGCGTTTTAGTGCTCTACACTACAGGTGTTCTGGGCGGACCATTCTGGACGAAACGTGGTACGACCATGGTCATACCGGTCGTACCGTGCGTGATGCCCCTCCCCTGTGCATGGTGGGATAAGTGGAGAGGAGAAGAGTGCAGTGCTCTGCAATCTCATGATGAGGGGGGGGGGGGGGGCTGAGATGACGAGGATTCACTAGCGCTGTTCGATGGTCTCTACCTATGTGCCGCTCATGGTCTCCTTGTGTTGTTACTTGTACACCCATAAGTATACTGTAAGCCCCACACACGCTTCCTTACCTTCAGTAGGTGGTGACGACTCGGAGGGCTGCGTTGCTGCGTCCTCGACGAATGCCTCAAAGTCGTCTCGGTGCCGCAGCATGAAGTTGGCAGCCTGTCGCCGTAGTGACAACATATCCGCCTGGACACGAACAGCAATAGCAACGCGGACAGGGCGGTCTAGCTTCACGTGACGTGCAGGGGTGACGATACTACTGACAGCGAACGCCACGGGATAAGTGGTATCAGTACTGGCAGTGGCATCATCTTACAGCATTGTTTTAAAACTGAGTGACCTGGTCAGTCCGCCAGTGCCTGCCTGAGTACTACTCACATACTGTACAAAAACAAATTTTCGTTTACGAATTTTTTTGTTAGAATACTATAAATGATCACTCCACCAGCAGGTTCATTACCTACTAAATTTCGTTTTTGGTCGAGGTCTGTCACCCTGAACGTTCAGAAATTTTTTTATTTGTGCCCCCCTATAGGGACCGTCCGGGGTTTCCGATTGTTTTTACAAAACGAAAAGTTTTAGTATTTTTCAGCCCCCACCCACCCACCCACCTTTACTGCAGGTAAAACAAATTCCAATAAAATATTGAAAAATTCGACGATATTGATGTCAATTTTTGACACCCAGAAGTAACTGGGCATTCTCCATCAGCATTCAATAATTATTTTCAAAACGAAACTCCATCAAACCCACCCACCCACAAACGAAAACATGTCGTTTTGAAAATATTATTGGTAACCTTGGACGGCCCCTAATGAACATAGCGAAGTTAATTGCAAACGAAACTTTGTACTACGTCCTATACTGTAGAGCGTTTCCACATCTTTTGTGATGTGACAATATGGGTCCCTGGGTGTAGGAAGTGATCATGGCATGTGGATAGCGGAGCCCCGTCGTCATGTGACCCATAGATGCAGGGCTTGAGTGGAGTTGGAACCAAAATGGCTGCCAGTATGGTCGTGTACTATACACGTCACATGCAACGACTCTATTGTACGGGGGTAGACGGGTGTACAGGGGTGGAGCTAGCCTGCTCAAAGCTAGACGTAAGTGTGCAGATTTCTTTTTGTCCTCCAGCCAGAAATGCAAACCACCATGCGTGCCACCATAAGAAGACACAATGGACATCAACACACAAACACACAGCGGAGAAGGGAAGGGAGGGGGGGGGGGGGGAGGAGCGGTGGAACAAAAAGCAACTTTACCTCACTCTTCCTGTTGTGCAGCTGGTACGCTAATGCATGGTACAGGCTACAAAAGAAAAAGCAACACACACACACGCATACACACACGCACACAGACACACAGACACGCACACAACTGGTCATAATTAAATGTATGTCTGCTTTATTCCCTAGACTTTCCGTAAGGTGCAATACAGGAATAAACATTCATTGGTTTGAGGGAAAGATGCAGGAATAAATGTGCATCATTATTGCATACAGTGTTTCAAAAGAATAATCGAAACAAACA